CTGTTTCTTTTAATACTCATGGTATTAAATGAAATCTGTAAAGAAGAATATTTTCGCCGCCTGATTTTGAACAAGGATAAACTACTTTTGCGCTGCTAGTGACTCGATCTAACGCGAATTAAACACGGCAGCGTTTAAAAGTACATTGTCACGAATATCGATCGTACAAGGTGGGTCAAAAGTCACTTCCTACCGAAACAAGTCCGTAATTTTTCCATTAATTTACCTTTTTATTAATTTCCGAACGCTCTGACCGTCGGCGCTCGAAAGAAATAATTTTTCAAGCGTCTGGTTTGAACCTAAGTTTAATTTAAGATTAACAGAATCAATTTTTTCTTACGCCTTGATATTTTATTTAAAAAAAAAAAAAAAAAGGAATGGATAAAAAGAGAACTTTTGGCCGCCATAGAATATTTCAAAGAACGACTAGATCTCCGTTTCGGCGAAAATTACTGGGAAAGTAGAGCTGCTCCTTTTTGCAGCTACTTCTCAAATCAAAACGAATTGCTCGCGAGGTGCTTTTCGCGAACCTCGCGTGTAAATCGTGACGATCGGTCGTTATAGTCGCACTCTTGGGAAAACGGATCGCGTGAGCGTGATCGCGAAAGCGGCAACCTCCTACGCTCTAATTGTACGCTCGACGATTGATAATTGTCGAACCGGAGGCCATAACGGCCGATCGCCACGATTTACACGCGACGAAGCAGCCGCGCTCCTCCTTCGAATTCTGTGCATCGGCGTGTCATGTTCACATCAGCCCTCGCTGAGCAGCAACCGTTTAATTTATTCGATCGAACCAGTCAGCCAGCTTTAAATTCCATTAATCGCGGGCCCGTAGCCGGATGCATAATATTCGTTGACGGTTCTCGATTGTACACCGGCTTATTGTACTTTTCCGCCGTGCACCGATTATCGATCCTCGTTCGAACGCCAATTGTATTCCTTTCGCGAGTTTGTCCTCTCGGTTGTAGTTACAGACATAGTAGTTCTTGGAGATTCAAGGATCTCGATATGATTGTTATTAACTGTCACGAATGCTGGTTTTCACTCTCTTCTAATTTTTGCGTAATGTAACTTTTCTATATATAATTTTTGGCCTTTCGTGCCTTGTAATTTTTTTATAATATTATTTTTATATATATAATTTTTGACCTTATGTGCCTTGTAATTTTTTTATATATTATTTTCATATTTATAATTTTTGGCGTTTTGTGCCTTGTAATTTTTTTATATATTATTTTTACATATATAATTTTTGACTTTTTGTGCCTTGTAATTCTTTTTATATATAATTTTTGAAGGCATTTTGTGTAATGTAATTTTTTTATATATAATTTTTGGCCTTTTGTGCCTTGTAATTTTTTTATATATTATTTTCATATTTATAATTTTTGATCTTTTGTGCCTTGTAATTTTTTTATATATAATTTTTGACCTTTTGTGCCTTGTAATTCTTTTTATATATAATTTTTGAAGGCATTTTGTGTAATGTAATTTTTTTATATATAATTTTTGGCCTTTTGTGCCTTGTAATCTTTTTATTTTATTTTTATATTATTTTTATATATATAATTTTTGAAGGTAGTTTGTGTAATCTCCTCGCCTTATAGTGATTGTATACTATTGTATATGATTTTATTGTTATAATCATTACAATATTATGACTAGACTTGACTAAAGATTTTAACGATGCAAACATTGCTTTATTGTCAAAACGTTCGTAACCACTGCAATTTAATCATTAAATTACACATATTAATTCATGACATTAAATCATTACTATAATATAACTACTAAAAAGCAATATTATAAATCTTTGACTAAGCATTTTAACAATGAATGTATATATTTGTACAGTTTTTTATCGTCAAAATCTTCACAATGATTATATTATATCATCATGTATCATTATATTATCATAATCATTACAATATTATAATCATCATGTATCATTATATTATCATAATCATTATAATAATTACTATATTATAATCATTACTAAAGACTTGACCGAAGATTTTAACAATGGAAATGATTTGTACGACACAAGTCATTTAATGGAAAGTGACTTACACTGATCGAATCCTCCATATATACATATATACATATAAACATATATATATACTTATATACTTATATATATATATATAAGTGTTTATATATAATATAATTTATATATAATATATTATATATAAGGGTTTATATATATATTATATATATATAATATACTAAGTACTTATATATAATATATTTATATATATATAAATACGTGATTTCCTTTCCCAATAATTATCTACAAAATACAAAAGTTCTCTTAAAGAAATTAAAAAGCCACCTCATTTTGTGGAAACAAAGTAAATTCGATCCACAAAGTGAATACATATAATTGATCCGCTCGGTTCGAAGAGTAGAATCGACTTGATATAGCCTCGAGAGAGAAAGAGAGAGAGAGAGAGAGAGAGAGAGAGAGAGAGAGAGAGAGAGAGAGAGAGAGAGTGTGTGTATGTATAATGAAATGCACGACGTTCGATGGTGACCGTTGAAAATTCGATTAAGGTTAAGAATAAATTTTCATGCTTGGCTATCGGGGGCTGTCGGCCCCCATCGTTCGTCGCCTCAAAACACACCGCTCACTCGACGAGTAAAAACGAGTGGCTCGATAACTGGCCATCGTCCCCACGAATTATCTAATCTCAAAGCTGTTCACGGAACGGTGCTGCTCATTGTCAATGAGAAACCAATTAAGGTCGCCGATAAATCTCTCCTCACGTCCATGGCTTTCGTTGCGTTCGAAATCCACCCCATCATACGCTTCATACGAGTTTCAGCTATCTTGTATAATCAATTACCTATAAATATGCAGTACCTAACCTTGTTAGTGATCCTCCAAGTTCTTCATCTCTCAATCGATCAATCTTTCCATATCGATATTAAGAGAGAGTTAATTTTCATTTTCATTTTCATTTTACCATTAATTTTCAGTCACATTCTCGAGTAAGATACATAATAGCTATTTTGCTCAATCAATTGCCTATAAATATACCTTGTTACGATTCTTAACCTCTCAATCGATCAATTTTTCCATATCGATATTGAGAGAGAGTTAATTTACCCCTAGTTTTCTGTCACATCCTCGAGTCAGCCGCATAATAGCTATTTTGCTCAATCAATTGTCTATAAATATACGATACCTAACCTTGTTACGATTCTTAACCTCTCAATCGATCAATTTTTCCATATCGATGTTGAGAGAGAGTTAATTTTCATTTTCATTTTAAATTCACCCCTAATTTTCAGTCACATCCCCCAGTCAGCCGCATAATAGCTATCTTGCTCAATCAATTGCCTGTAAATATACGATACCTAACCTTGTTACGATTCTTAACCTCTCGATTGATCAATTTTTCCATATCAATATTGAGAGAGAGTTAATTTTCATTTTCATATTAAATTCACCCCTAGTTTTCTGTCACATCCTCGAATCAGCTGCATAATAGCTATTTTGCTCAATAAATTGCCTATAAATATACGATACCTAACCTTGTTACGATTCTTAACCTCTCAGTCGATCAATTTTTCCATATCTACATTTTCATCAGGTAATTATTTCTGTAAGACGATGACATATGTATATAATCACGCTCGTGGTGATAAAATTCATTAGTTTATTAATTAATTTATGCCTATAATATACATTATGCTACAGTCCGTTGCGACGAACTGTAGCATAATGGTAATTACAATAGATCGCACAACTATTGATATATCTAGCAATATTTTTGTGAAAACAAATGATATATTAACAAAATCTGTTTCCATAAATATGTAGCAATATGTGCAATTTCCAATGAGTTGTACAATAATAATACAAGTAATGTAAAAATTGGAGAACTAAAAGGTGAATTAAAATTAAATTAAATAAATTACAGCTCTATCACGCATTTGAACAGAATATCAAATATTTTTAATAGTTGAAAGACAAGTGTTATCGTTCAATAACATTCCAATATTTACAAAAGGATGGCCTGTCATTTTTTCTAATAACAACTCCGCCGTTAAATGCAGATACATTTCTAACTGTAGAATTTTTATATTTCCTGTATTATTATTATTGGAAATTGTTACTGTGCACATTGCTTTCGTACGTAATGATCTATTTATCGAGATTTTACAGATTTTGTTACTATATCATTTTTGTTTTCATAAAGATATTATCAAGGAACTATAGTATACTCTTTTGCCAATAATCTTCTCACCCACTGTTTGGAAAAACGTCGTATGTCACGTGTTTTCATTTCACACAAGTTCATAGTACCAGCTCCTCTTATTAGATTGCGTATTAATTCTTTCAACCTACGAAATTCATTTTCATACTTTCTTTCGTTGTAAATTCGTAAATCCTCTGCAATTCAATTAATACATAAACACAAATTTTGTTGAAACTGCCATAACGTTTGCCATTTCCTTTCTTTTTTACAGCCACAATGTAATATACTAACTAAATAATATAAATATAAAGAATTATAAAAAAATATAATAAATATATATAATATCTACAAATGTAATGAAATATAACAGATGTAGTAGATACAAACAATTATAACTAATATAACAATATTAATAATATGGAAGCAATAAAATAATTGTCCTCGTATAACAAAACGTTATCAAATGAAAGGGTTGATGTCTCGATCTCGCTTTAATTTCCAACATTCCAAACGCAAACTCTGACATATATTGTTCGTAGAGACGTTAGAACCGAGAAATCACGGCCACAACCAAGAACGATTACTTCATATCACTTTCGAACTAAAGCCAGCTCGACGTGCTTAAAGTAGAATAAAAAAAAAAAAAAAGAAAGAATGGCTAATTATATAATTTGGTAAAAATTTCTAAAAGTTCATTGTGGTTCAGAGGTTTTCCTAATTTTCACACGGCGCCGATGTTGTACAACTCGATGTTACCAGAGAAATGGAAATTAACAGTTAATCGAGGGAGACTTACTCGGTTTGATTGTCCTCGAAGGTGAGCGAGCCCTCGGTGTGAATGTATTGCTTTCCAGGCTTGGCCGTGCCCTCGATGGTGCGATAGGGGACGACCACGCGTCCCCTGGCGCCGCTGTATCTCACAATTCGCAGAGGATACTGACCGACGCTCTCCACCAGCTCGACGTCCCTTTCGGGAAAGCCGAACACGCCGCTGTGATCGTCGTCGAGGATCATCACAGTCGCCAAACTGGGCGACACCAGCATGGCCGGCTGCGACGCGTTGCTCAATCTGTAACCAATATTATCACCGTTTGTATTAGCGACATGGTTGCAGCAGCGCCGAAAATTTTAAATGGGAAGAAATTTTAAATGGGACGAACGGTAGCGATGATTAACCTTAAATGAATAAAAGTGAAGTGTATAGAATAAGGGGTGAGGCGAGTGTCCTTGTTTAAATGCAACATTTGATTGGAATATTTAATCTCTGTTTTGGAAATACAATGAAATTATAAAAAATAGTGAAATATAACAGATAAAATAATTTTACGAGTATGCACAATTGTGGAAATATAACGAATAAAATGAAATAAGATAATAAATATATATAGTGCAAATGTAATGAAATGTAATAGATGCAGTAGATACAAACAATTATACTAACTAATATAATAATGTAATATGCTAACTAAATAATATAAATATAAAGAATTATAAAAAAATATAATAAATATATATAATATCTACAAATGTAATGAAATATAATAGATGTAGTAGATACAAACAATTATAACTAATATAACAATATTAGTAATATAACAATATTACTAACTAATATAACATTAGTAATATAACAATATTACTAACTAATATAATAACATTAGTAATATAACAATATTACTAACTAATATAATAATATTAGTAATATATTAACTAAATAATATAAATATAAAGAATTATAAAAAAAATATAATAAATATACATAATTTTGGAAGTATAATGAATAAAATGAAATAAATGTATATAGTATCTGTAAGTGTAATGAAATATAATAGATATAGTAAATACAAACAATTATACTAATATAACAATGTAACTAGTATACCAGCTAAATAATAAATATATGTACAAATAAACAAATAAATAAATAAATAAATATATACAGCCTATAAATATAAATATAGTAAATATAAAGAATTTTGGAATATAATGAATAAAATGAAATAAATAAAGACAATAAAAAAATAAGACAATAAATACAGTGAAATATAATGGATATAGTAAATACTAACTGCAATAATTAATAATACATATAATTTTGTAAATCTAATAGAAACGGCGACCTTCTGAACAAAACGATACGTAAATAACACATAAATATATAAAATATAGTAGTAAGTAATACATAAGTAATACATAAACATAAAATATAATAGTAAATAATACATAAGTAATACATAAATATAAAATATAATAGTAAATAATACATGAGTAATACATAAATATAAAATATAATAGTAAATAATACATGAGTAATACATAAATATAAAATATAATAGTAAATAATACATGAGTAATACATAAATATAAAATATAATAGTAAATAATACATGAGTAATACATAAATATAAAATATAATAGTAAATAATACATGAGTAATACATAAATATAAAATATAATAGTAAATAATACATGAGTAATACATAAATATAAAATATAATAGTAAATAATACAAGTAAGTAATACGTAAATATGTATGGTAACTCGGACTCGATTTATCAGAGTTAGTTTCGGGCTGGCTGTCTCGCCAGCTCTCGAGCATTCGTCATCGTGACGCATCTGCGAGCCACAGAACGCGCAATGGAACGCTTCCGTCGATCAAAGCGGCTCGTCTAAGCTAATTGCTTTCCCTCCCGGAGCAAACTTCTCCGGCGGGAACCGGCCAGATAAGGCGAGACCCGAAATAACTCGGAACGAGATTGCCCCCGCGACGATTCGAGGTGGCACGAGGAGGCTCGGCGTGTCGCGTTTCTTCGCGCTTCATCGTCTCTTCATGGCATCCAAACGACTACGAATTCGCGATACTCGTTGAAATTGTTCTCTATCCGCGACCTGAACCTTCCTTTTAACGATCGAAACCCCCTCGTTCCGCGAAACGAAACAAAAGCGTCGACTGGTTGGATCCTTTTTTTTTTTTTTTTCTTTTCTTTTCTCTCACCGTTATCAGAGGCCTTGCATCTCGTCGCGCGACACGAACTTCGAATCTCGCGAGGGAAGTTCGCGCGTGTCGCCGAACAGATCGAGCGAGATTATCGCGCGGCGCGACTGGAGAGATTCCTCGAAAATCGACGAGTTTCTTTCTCGCTGGCTGATGTGAGCTACGCCGGCGTGATCTAGGCCGATTTCGATCCCCCACCGGCGTTTGTCGGGTTTCTTTAATTCGTCTTTAGTTCTTACATCTTGTTTCCGTGAACGACGGGAATAATAATCGCGAAACCTTGCCTCTAACGCTTCGACGCTTGGAGAATGGGAAAACGCTTCGATATCGAGATCGAGCGGGAAACTCGGACGAAGTTTTGCGTGCCAGATGTTGAAACCGATTGACTTGGATCCAGAGAAATATAACTGTTTTTGTTAACCGCATTGTTTGCGAGATATTATTTAGAATGCATGTTGGATTGATCCACGTGAAACGAACGTACTCGTATCGTTGGCCAAGGTCATCGTAACGAGAAAGATAGAAAAGAACGCGATCTATTCGTACCCTTTTCAACAGATATCTTTCCAACTGCGGAAATATTCTTTGTATTAATCATTATTTGTACAGAACAAAAGTATACTCGATAATTTCGAATTATATATTATATTAATTATCGTTATACATTTATTATTATTAATATTACTATTTGTTATACATTAATTCGCACAAATTGCAATATTTTCTGTTTGAAATATATTTAAGTATAGCTCAACAATTTCTGTCCAGCGATATCGTACCGGCGAGTTCAAAAAGAAAGCGACGAATCATTGTATACGATTATTTGGTCACTCGTTATACCAGCGCAAGTGGTTAAAGCTTTGCCAACCTTGAACGATTACCAACCTTTCCCAAAGATTATGTTTCTGCGTCGTGCAGCATTTCGTTGTCGAAAGTCGTAACAAATTTGAACCAGAAGCGTCCAAAAAATATTTTTCACGATTTCTCGCCATAATCTTGAAGATTGAAGTCTTCTCTTTAAAGCTCGCTACATTTGATTTGATTCTCCAAACTTTGACAAACGGAAGTTTTTATTTTCTTCACTCTACTCTCTCTCTCTTCATAATTCAGCTTTCCATAATTTACGACTAGGTAATTCGCGATCTCTTACGTCGCTTTATCGCGTTTTATTTAAAAGGTATTTTTAATTTTGGTTACAGAATGCGGTGGGGAGGAGAAACAGACAACGGAACAAAGTAGGTAAGGAGGGGGGCTGATCCCCTATTCGTAAGCCATCAAGTTTCGACATCAAGTTTAGAACAGAGGCGGTGAACTTCTGCTTACTCACTCCCGTCAGTCTACCGTTTCGCCCTCCCCCACCAACGAAATTAGTTTCCGCTCTGTGCATTCTTCCCTGCCGCAGCCGCTTCTTTCAACTTCCACCAGCTGAAGCTAAAGCGAGCAGATCGATGCAGTGGAGGGGAGCGCCCCCTATCGAACAAAGGAGTAGGGGCACGGGCCGCCAGTTCGCCACTCGTGCATCGAATAGATGCGCCTTCCGCGAGACATTCGACTCGTTATCGTCGCTCGACGAATCAAAAAAAAAAAAAAAAAAAGAAAAAAATGTTCATCAGCTGTGCTTCAAGCGGCTTCGAAAGGAGAGAGAAATTTTCGCCGCTCTTAATCCAACTAGCTGCCACTTGTCTCGAGTATCTGTCTTCGCTTCGTGAAGGTTCTCTCGTCGGATCACAAAGAGCCAAGTATTCGCGAGAGAGGCGCGGAAACGAGTGTCTCGTTACGAAAATCTTCCCGAGAGGATCTAAACGGATCTTTTTCTCGAAGTGGAGAAACCGCGGCGATCTCCAAAATGGCGAACGATCTCGAGGATTCTCGCGAGTCTCTTCGAGTTCCCGCTCGAAGGCCGTTCGTTCAATCGACGAATCGATGTTAATCGACGGAGGGACGAGTGTCCGCGTCGACGAAGCCGCGAACGAGCGGCCAATTCCCTTTTGTCCGCGCGCAGTTTAAGCGGTAATGAAATTGCGCGTACCATCCGGCCCGTGGCTTAATTGAAAGATGCGCTCCCCGACTATTATCAATTTGTTATCGCGGCTCGGCCGGCAGACGTCCGCTCCTCTCTGCGTCTGGCGGATCGGATCCGCTTCCTGTTTTTCAAAGGGGAACCGAGGCGTCCTGGTTCGCTCTTCCGCGAACGCGCGCTAATCGAGTCTCGTCCCTTTGACCGAAGAACGAGAAGCCGCCGTCACCTTGCGAAACGACCGAGTCTCTCCAAGTCTTTGAAACCCATTTCCCAGAACTTACTTTCGTTAGAACGTTACGTTTTTTAATTTTTTTTTTCTTTTTTTTTTTATTAATTTGTAATAAGAACAAGATGGACTGCGTAGAGACACTGCGTTGGTTTGACATCGGTTTGATATTTTTCATTTCGACTCACACTCAGATGATTTCGTATTTATGCTTCCGTAATGGAAGAGTGGAGTTTCCCTTGTTGCCGAGTATTCGCGTTTCCTGAGTTGTGTAAAATTTCCTGGAGAATGGAAAGAAAGTCGAATGAAAAGTACGAAGAACAATCGTTTTCTTCAAACGTACAAAACTTCCCAAATCGTCGGGATGTTTCGTAGAAAAATTTCGTATATAAGAGTATCCTATTCACGCGAGAGCCAAAAGAATATACTCTGAGACTCGTGTCTCGATCGATGTTCCAGGACCAAGGGAACCGGTCTAATCCCCTAATCCCCGAGTCGCAGGGACAAAAGGAACGTTCGAGCAATCTCGGCGATGGTTAGTCCCCCGATCGTTCTTAAAACAATGTGCAACCGAGTTCCTTTTATTTATCTGGATTCTCGTTGGATATTATTCCCCGACCTCGACCCAGTTTCATCGAGAGAGAGAAAAAAAGAGGGGAAACATTTTCCAGTACAGGTTCCGCGGAAACAATGAACACATTTTGTAATATTTCTCCGGTTCATGGCACGCGGATTTTTCAAGGTCCGACCGTGTTTGACAGAGAAACGACGATGCGTCCCCCATTGTTCCATCGGTTCCCTCGTCTCTTTGAGTTTCGAACGAACGCATTCAGCGGTTGGGGACAATTCATCGTCGAACGTCGAACGACGACGTTTCAGGCTTCCTGCGCTGCGCTCGTCCTTGCCCCGCCCTCGTCAAGTATCATATTCGTAACCTTGAAATCTTCTCGCACGCATTTCTCGACAACGTTAAACCATTTAAAACGATTGAACACGGACAAATTTAATCGTCGATAAGCGCTCGTATACAGTCGATATCGCGTTAATTAATTATTATTTAAACCGATAAACAGTTGAATATTTAAACTGTTGCAATTTGGTAAAGTAAACTCTTGTAACATGGATGAACGCGAGTCAGTTTTGAAGCTTACGTACTTTGCAAAGGTACTTTCCGAGGTATATTTACGTCATGTAGTAAAGACACTTTTGCTCTCAAACGTGCTATGAATTATCATGGTATAAAAAAATATTGAACAAACTTTTTTTGTGACTGAATCTAGCGTGTGTTTGAAGATTGAAACTTCCTCTTTACAGCGATCCCTCGAGACTCGACGATTTTTACGATTCTTTTTCTTTCGCCATTTTGCCGAAGTTTAAATATTAGGCGTCCACGACGAAAATTCAAGAAATCGCAATATTTTTCGTTTGATAAAATGGCGAGAAGAAATCGTATATCAAATTTTTAAGAAACCATTGTAAATAAGAGAATTCGATCTTCAAATTTACGATTTTTCTTTTGCCATTTTATTGAACTATAAATATTATTAATACTGAATATATTATAATACTCTATAATATTTATAATATTAAATTAATATTAAATATTATATATTATAACATTTACAATATTAAATTAATATTAAGTACACGACGAAAATTCAAGAAATCGCAATATTTTTCGTCTGTATTCGTTCGATAAAATAGCGAGAAGAAATCGTATGTACATCAAATTTTAGGAAGTAAATAGGAGGCTTCTTTCAATTCATCGTAGATTCAGTCGCGAGAAAAATAATTCAATGCCGTGACAATTTGCAGGATTTTCGAGAAGAAAAGCATGTTTACTCTGTGACGTAGAAACACTCTAAAATAAATTGAAGGACATACATCGAAAGTAGAAGCTCCGAGCTATAAAAACGCTTAGCTTCTACCTGATACTATGCCCGTTTGAATATTTAGTGCCGGAATATTAATTTAACTATGCTTCCGTGAGCCACTGAAACAGCCGTGTGTCGATGCGACTAAAACAATCCTACCTTGCTATAATTGGAGAGTACGCGAGTTCCAAGAGGTCAGACACGTGGTCGCCCGATCGTTTCCAAACATCTCGCACGTTTGCCAAAGCTTCACTTGCATCTTTTATCGCATACTCCCGCGATAGAATCATCTGGCGAAAGCTCGACGCGATTTTCAGACCTTAAATTCGTTTCGAAACCATAATAGACCATCAACGCGCGCCACAAAGACACGCTCGTTCGAGTTTCCGCGTCGTTATTGACCGTGGCAATAAAACTAGGGGCTCCGATCCCCACATGTCCTTGATCTTTTCTACTCGAATATCTTGGCCGCTCGTTTGCCATATATCGACGTCCCTGCATCCGTCATCGGAATTGTCCCTTCCTTCCTCCTTCGAATTTAACGAAACACATCAGCATCGACGATATCTACTGAAACCACGCGTCAATATTCTCCATTTGTTAACCTCTTGCGCTGGAATGACGTGCCACGCACGTCGAGAACTTTTCGTCCCAAAATTGCAACATTTTCTCAGTTTTAAGTACATTTAAGTATACTTAATTCAGGCAAGACAAATAATAAATTTCTTACTTCCCAATAATTTCTATCCAACGATATGATACCGACGAGTTCAAAAAGAAAGCGACGAATTATTGTATTATATGGTTTGGTCACTCGTTATGGTCCGCAATCGGTTGCCAAAGCAAGTGGTTAACTTCTTGCGCTGGAATAACGTGCCACGCAAGTCGAGAACTTTTGGTCCCAAAATTGCAACATTCCCTCAGTTTTAAGTATATTTAAGTATACCCAGGCAAAACAAATTTGTTACTTCCCAATCATTTCTATCTAGCGATATCATACCGACGAGTTCAAAAAGAAAGCGACGAATTATTGTATTATATGGTTTGGTCACTCATTATGGTCCGCAATCGGTTGCCAGCGCAAGTGGTTGATCTTAACCTCTTCTCACGTCGAGGATTTTTTGTTCCAAAATTATAATATTTTCTCAGTTTTAAGTACATTTAAGTATACTTAACTCAGGCAAGACAAATAATAAATTTACTTCCCAATAATTTCTATCCAACGATATGATACCGACGAATTCAAAAAGAAAGCGACGAATTATTGTATTATATGGTTTGGTCACTCGTTATGGTCCGCAATCGGTTGCCAAAGCAAGTGGTTAACCTCTTGCGCTGGAATAACGTGCCACGCAAGTCGAGAACTTTTCGTCCCAAAATTGCAACATTTCCTGAGTTTTAAGTATATTTAAGTATACTTAACCCAGGCAAAGCATAATAAATTTCTTACTTCCCAATAATTTCTGTCCAGCGATATCATACCGACGAGTTCAAAAAGAAAGCGACGAATTATTGTATTATATGGATTGGTCACTCGTTATGGTCCGCAATCAGTTGCCAGCGCAAGCGGCGAACCTTAACCTCTTGCGCTGGAATGACGTGCCACGCAAGTCGAGAACTTTTCGTCCCAAAATTGCAACATTTTCTCAGTTTTAAGTATATTTAAATATACTTAACCCAGGCAAAACATAATAAATTTCTTACTTCCCAATAATTTTTATCCAACGATATGATACCGACGACTTCAAAAAGAAAGCGACGAATTATTGTATATATGGTGTTGGTCACTCGTTATGGTCCGCAATCAGTTGCAAATGGTTAACCTCTTGCGCTGGAATAACGTGCCACGCAAGTCGAGAACTTTTGGTCCCAAAATTGCAACATTCCCTCAGTTTTAAGTATATTTAAGTATACTTAACTCAGGCAAAACAAATTTGTTACTTCCCAATCATTTCTATCCAGCGATATCATACCGACGAGTTCAAAAAGAAAGCGACGAATTATTGTATTATATGGTCTGGTCACTCGTTATGGTCCGCAATCAGTTGCCAGCGCAAGTGGTTAATTTTCCCTTCGTCGGAATAATAACAAGACATTTAATATCGACGACGGGCTTCGAGCTCTTTGCGACTTCCCATAGTTTGCATTAACCCAACGCGAGTTCGTACTTGCCAAGTTGGTGAAACTCGTTGTTACGCGATATTAGCGGGTGGGAAACAAGCGACCTCGTGTTACGTTTTAAACGGATCTTAAATCGAGTCGAGTCGAGGGTATTTGAAAGTAAGAATTACCTGACGTAGAAGTGCTCGTCCTCCTCGAACAGTTCGTCGTCGATGACGGATAGCTTGATGGTCTTCTTGGTCTCGCCGGGGTCGAAGGTGAGGGTGCCCTTGGCGCTGATGTAGTCGGAGCCAGCCTCGGCCGAGCCGTCCTCGGTGCAATAGTCGACGGTGCACGGTTTGGTCAGATCGCCGCCAACCCTTGTCACTCCCACCTCGAACGTGCCGATGTTCTCCATGACGGTGTAGTGGCCAGGCTCGAAGAAGATCCTCATCGCGTTCACGTTGTCGATGTCGATGCTCTCGGCCTCCTGCCGTTGCAGCTCGGCCTTCACCTCGCTCAGGTCGCTCTGCGCCCTCTCGCTGATCTTCTTGCTGAGATTCCCGGCGCCGACCATCTTCCTGGTGGCTTGCACCCTGTAGAACGCCCTGCTTTTCGGCCCCTTGCCGAGCACCTCCTCATGGGCCATCACCTCCAGCTGCTCCAGCGGCAGGGTCGGGTGCTTCTTCCTCAGCTCCCGCAGTGTTTTAATGTAGTCCCTCCTGGTCTGCTCGAACTCTTTCGCCTCGGGCGTGTCGGCGTCGGTCATGCTGTGGAAGTTGTCCTGCTGGGGCTTGATCTCCAGCTCCACCCCGCCGTCCGAGTCGCCGGCCTCCGCCTGCACGATCACTCCTCTCTTGTTCATCCTGTAGCCCTTGTGCAGGTACTTGTAGATGAGCAGCCGTCGATCGGCCACGTAGGCGGTGAGCACCGTGGCCGGGAAGAAGGAGAACGTGAGTATACCTTCCCAGACCTCGAGCTCGCCCGGGCTCGAGACCTCCAGTATCACGTACAGCCATACGTACGCGAATATGCTCCACGTCGCTGTGACGAAGAACACCCTCAGGTGCTTGATCTTCCTCGTCTCGCCGTTCGGTATCACGAACACGCACAGCGATATGATGACGAAGAGGTTGTACGCGGCCGATCCTACGATCGTTCCCGGCCCGAGTTCACCGGCCTGGAAGTTCTTCGCCCAGATCTCGATGATCGACAGCAGGATCTCCGGCGCGCTGCTGCCCAGCGCCATCAGCGTTAAATTCGCCACCGTCTCGTTCCACACTCGCACCACCACGATCTGCGGCTCCTTACCCTGCCGGCGGACGACCAGCTCCTTCTCCTTCGAGGTGATCACCTCGATCGCCGCCATGAAACGATCGCTGATTATCGAGACGCCGATGAACAGGTACAACAGCAGCAGGAAGTAGACGAAACCGCGGAAGATCATGTCCGAGAGATAGAGGTTCTCCTCCGGTTTCCATACTGGCACCATTAGACCGGGCTCGCACCGTGCCGAATAATTTCCCGGCATCTTTCTCTACGATTCTCTCTCGCGAGGGGAGGATTCTCCCCTCTCTTTCTCTGTCGGACCAACACTCGAAATCTTGTCTCTCCCTGTCGACCGATAAACAACCCGGCAGTCGATCGATCTCGTCGAATCTCACCGGCGGTTTGATTTCAATCGGCCGATTCCAAATCGCCGGTAGCCTGGCGATCCTCTCCTTTCTATCCCGCGTCTTCTCCTTTCTCCCCGGTGAAAATTCTCACCACCGTTTCCCCATCGATACGACGACAGGGTGCTTTCTGGAGTCTTTCTCTTCCTCTTCCTTCTTCGCGTGCACTTAACTCCCTCTTCGGGATCTCGCACACCGCCTATGAGACTTCACGCACTTCACCCTCTTTCTTCCTTCGTTTTCGTGTTTGTTGCTATTACCTCGAACCCGGAAACTACGGACGATTTTGCGCGCGCGCGCGTGTGTGTGTATATGTGTATGTGTACCTGTTACATGTGTGTGTCTGTTATGTGTTTGTGTTTGTGTTTGTGTTCGTGTGCGTGCGTGTGTGTGTATGTGTGTGCGCGCGCGTGTGTATGTGTGTGTGTGTGTGTGTGTGTGTGTGTGTGTGTGTGTGTGTGTGTGTGTGTGTGTGTGTATTTGCGTACGTGCGTGGCGTACGCGAGTAGCGTGTTACGTGTCAGTTATCCGAGCGTGAACGAGAACCAAGAACGATCCAAGAACCGGGCGCGCGTGTGTCACCCTGACGAGCTGTGTGACATCGGTGGGTCGTGGGAATCGGCTACCGAGGGAACCTGCCGATACCACCGCGGCAGCGAGCTCCCATCACGAAGATGATCCTTCGAGCACGGGGCGAGAGAACCGTACCGGGCCGTGTTCGAACGAACACTGAAAGAGGAGAGAGAGAAAACGAGCAAGGAAGAGGAGAGCTGGGTGGGAGTAGAGAATCTCGAGCTGCCTAGACGCGGCAGACCCTCTCTCTCTCTCTCTCTCTCTCTCTCTCTCTCTCCAACGCCAACGCCACTCGTCCTTGTCAGTTTCGAGTCGTCGCCATCTCTCTTTTGCCCTTTGGATCCTGTCGTTATCTCTCTCGTTCTCCGCAGCCTGTCGTTATCTCTATCCTTCTCCGTTCGTTCCAAGTCTCTCTCGCTCCCTCTCGCGTCTCTGTCACACCGGCAGCCGAGCATCCCTGCCCCAGCGTACCGGCTAAAGGGAGCGCATGCGTTTCCACCCTCTTCCTCCACCCCAACTGACACCCCTGATCAGCAGGGGCGCCTACTCTACCCCCATCTCTCGCTTCTCTAGGTGGCTTGGTCAACCTAGGCCAGAATCTAAACGTACACGCTCCTTACACGTTCGCGTAAACGCTTCTTCCTCCGCGGTGGCAACCCCCTTTTCTTCCTTCATCCTCTCTTTCGCTAAATAACTTTTCCCCCTTTGGTACTGCGGATCAAACGAGACAGCGAAGGATAAATCAAACGCGCGACTTTGTCGGACGTTGGCTGGACGTCGGCTCGAACAACCCCCTGAGATCCGAAAAGACACAGGGGAAAGGCAAACGACGATGGCCTTCTCCCCCTCCGTTTTCTCAGACGACCGATCGATCGAGCATTTCGCCGGCGTCGATTTCGTTTCGATTTCGCGAAGGCGCGAGGAACGTAGATCTGGAGATTCCGACACTCGGAAGTGTGTCGTGCTCGTAGAGGTAAAGTTGTTCGAGCCATTGTCAAGGCAAGCTTTCTCGTGCCGATCCAAAGTTCCACGATGGCGGTGAAAATGATAATTAGCACGCAACGATCATCAATGCGGAAATGACAATTAGTAGAAAATTGGTACGAATCCGGGAAACCGATAATTGAATATTATTCGAGTAAAAATACTGATTTATTCGGATGCTTGTTGAAATAAAAATTTTAGTCGATTGATAAACACGAGTCTCCGATTTCAGTCGTAGCAAGAAGTATAGAATTAATAGCAAAGGGGACTTGTTTTGAATATTGCTAGATTTGTTGATTAGGCCAAAATAAGTACATTTGATTTAACATGCACTTAAGACTAAATTCGATTAACCAAGCTGAGACGATTGTTAACACGTATTTTACAAAGTGTTAAACAATTCGTTGCGTGAGGCTGAGTTTAGCAGAACGATTTTTCGTCCCCAGTCAGACATTGGGCAGACTTGATTTGGATTAACGAGTGAATAATAACGAGCAATGGTCCCCCAGATTTATTCGTGAATAACGGATTTTATTCGATGAGATATTATTCGTTGTCTCTCGCGGATAAATGTCTACCGTTATCGTTATTGCCGAATAATTTCCATTCCAGATCGAAATTTTTATTTGAAGTTTTACCCGAGTATAAATTTATTCGCGCAGATTTATTCCGATACTTATTGAAATAAAAATTTTCTCGAACAACCTGTCCAATTCTGATTTCAATCGTATCAAGAAGCAAAGAATTATTAGTAAAGAACTTTTCTTTTGCCATTTGTGATATTGAAAATATGTGATGTTGCAAGATTTGCAACGCCAAAATATGTATATGTAATTTAGTATAAATACTATGTGTACTAATATATACTAATGTAATGCTACTTTGGTAGAAATACTAATTGATATGAATACTAATTGATGAAAGATATTTAGATCACCTCATTTAAATGGACCACCCTGTATATCTGAGAGTAAACTTGATTAACTAAGCTGTGGAAGCTCGTTTCGCTTGATTAACTAAGACTCTGCTACACGCTGTCTTGCTCAGTCTCTTGCGACTCTGTATTGCTCTTTTCTACTCAACAATTGGATCCACATCAAATCTGCTCCACTCAGCGACGCAATCGACAACTTTTTCACACTTTTTCTCGATCCTTTCCTTGTTGCCATTTGTTCCCTATCTCTTTCTCTCTCTCACTCGTACATCCCCTTAAAATTATATTATTTTTAATGAGAGTTTAGTTCGAGGTGCCTAAATTGTCAGATTCCTAAACGCGTCACGATTCCCAAGTGTGCCCGAAAGTTTCGAGCGCTTCACTTTAATTTTAATTTTATAATTCCACGGCGAGTGATTTAAATAATAAATGCGAATAAATGGATTTTGTAAGTGTAACCTTGTCTCGAAAATTAAATTAGAACTATCAACGATCGAATGATACTCGCATAAAAATTTCCATCAGAGACATTAAAGTCAAACATTTATGATGCAATTCAGGGTGTACAAACTTTCATTTGTATGTTTTACGAAAAATTATTTAAACCTTTAGAAATACGTTTCACGTCTATGAAATATCTGACAAAAATTATAAATTGGCCATTTTGATTGCTTTGATAGTTCTAGCGTTGAAAGCTCTCGAAATTTTCCAGGATATCGGCCCGATCTCGTGATAAATTCCCGATCTGACAACTTCGGAGTCTCTCGTACGCCCCTAATTATTTTACAAGCACTATACATAGCCTCGCGTAACTTCCTGCAGGACATCTGCGTGTCTGAGCCGCCTTGAGCTCGTAAAATTGACTTGCACAAGGTTTTATCACTCCTACATAACGATAGTATTCGACAAACGCAGCGTTCCCTACGTTTCATTCCTCTTTCGACAACCTAAATGAAAAAGAAATCGTTTTCAATCGCCTCTAACCTCTTGCAACTGGTTTCGCGGACCATAACGAGTGACCGAGCCGCATACAACAATTCGTCGCTTTCTTTTTTCTTTTGAACTCGTCGATATGACAAAAATTATTACGAAGTAATAAACTTATTTATTATTTTGCCTGGGTTACGTTTAAATATATTTAAAACTGAGGGAACGTTGCGATTTGGGATAAAAAATTCTCGACATGCATGGCATGTCATTCCAATGCAAGAGGTTAACCACTTGCTCTGGCAACCGACTGCGGACCATAACGAGTGACCGAACCGTATACAACAATTCGTCGCTTTCTTTTTTAAACTCGTCGGTATAACATCACTAGGGTAGAAATTATTGAGAAGTAATAAATTTATTACTTGTTTTGCCCTGATTATACTCAAATATACTTAAAACTGAGGGAATATTACAATTTTGGAATAAAAAATCCTCGACGTGGGAAGAGGTTAAGATCAACCACTTGCTCTGGCAACTGATTGCGCTTTCTTTTTCTTTTGAACTCGGTCGGTGTAACATCACTCGATAGAAATTATTGAGAAATAATAAACTTATCGTTTTTGGTTACGTTTAAATATGTACTTAAAACTGAGGGAACTCTTGCAATTTGGGATAAAAAATTCTCGACGTGCGTGGTACGTCATTCCAGCGCAAGAGGTTAAGGTTCGCCGCTTGCGCTGGCAACTGATTGCGGACCATAACGAGTGACCGAGCCGTATACAATGATTCGTTTTTCTTTTGAACTAGGTCGGTATGACATCACTCGATAGAAATTATTGAGAAATAATAAACTTATCATTCGTTTTTTTTTTTTTTTTAACTCGGTCGGTATGACATCACTCACATAGAAATTATTAGGAAGTAATAAACTCATCATTCGTTTTGGGTTACGTTTAAATATATACTTAAAACTGAGGAAATGTTGCAATTTGGGACAAAAAAAAAAAAATTCTCGACGCGCGTGGCACGTCATTCCAGCGCAAGAGGTTAATGGCCCGTCAAACGAACGATCCTTAAATGGAAAAAACATTCTTTTCGTTTTTATCGATGTCCCTTTCAACTCGTGGGATCTCGACCTCCACTTCGTATTTTCTCCTAATGTACTCCTCGCTATGGTTGATAAAAGACACTCGGCGACAATGCTGGTAATCCGCGGGGGAGCGTCTGATAAATACAACGCCACAGGCTCTTTCTTCTTTTAAGCTGTCCCGAGCAACGACGGCCTTGTATCGTTGCAATCGAGATCTTTGCTCTATCTACGAAAACGACGTAGCTCCATCGCTTCTTGCGATTGTTACGAATTTATCATATCAGAGTGGAAGTTTCATGGACAGAGGGGGGGAGATTGAACAAGAGTGTGCTGTCGCCCATTAACCCGTGATAGCCCATTCGATATACTTTATCATGGAGTAATACAATGGCTCACGAATGTTAGTGTTGCGAAAAGGAAAAACACGAACACGAAAATTCATTTTCATTACTTCAAAACTATTAATAATATAATTAATTTTAAATTATTACCAAAATATATTTTTATTATAAAACTTTATTTAATTATATTATTAAAAATTATATATTTATATATATAAATTTATATTTTAAAATAAAACTTTTAATTAAATTTAATTCCATTTAATATAAATAAATAATTTTATATAAACTAAAATTAAGATATGTGAAATTATTGGAGTATTATAGTATATTGAAATTTGAACTGATTTTTTTTTTTCTTTAAACAAACCGATCGCCATAATGTTAATGAAGCAGTCCAGAACGTGAGAATTTTGGAATTTAGTTGAAAGACAAAGTTCCTTTATGATCGTAAATTAATAATTTAATAATAATTTTATTAATTGATTCATCAATTAACGATAATGTTAATAATTTAACAATGTGTTAACTTTCTTACTTGAAGATTTATGTAATTCTCCAATAATCTCTTGGTGTATCGCTGTATAAGATCGCCTTAAGATGTAAGAATTTTAAACTGAAGATCGTTTATTTTAACAAACGCGCGATATTCATATTATTTTCTTAGTTTCGTGTTTCTCATCGTTAGTTGTACAATTCCTATATCGCGACTGTCGTCGTTCGTAACCATCGTCGCCATCTGCATAGAACTATGGAACGAAAGCAGTTCATCGAATCGATAAGTCCTGGTTCGGAAAGATCGAAACAAAATATTCTCCCTCGAACCTTTAGTCAATGGTGTGAAAAAAAATGAAGATTGAACTCGACGTAATGCCTTGAAGCATCATCAAATAATTGATTTTTCGCCTGATTCGTTTTCCAAGTCGATATTCTAGAACAGGGTGACAAGGAATCTCGTGCAATGTCACATCTAGTCTGTGTTTGGTTAATGCTTCTCTCGGGGATTCCCCTATGTATCGTGTGACGTCATCGATATTCAGCAAGAAAATTCCTCGCAAATGAACTTTTGCTGACAGACGTTTATCACTGAAATGTTACAAATCGTTTGTAATATTCCTTGGAATACATTTTCTAAATTCTAAATGAGATATTTGGTTAGTTTATTCAATGCCATATTTTTCTATTTTAGAGCAAGGGGACAAAAAAGTCTCGTGTGATGTCGTATCTAGTCTGCGTTTGGTTAATGTTTACTTGGTATAATCTCGGGGACTCCCCTACGTATCGTATCGACGTTACCGATTCAGCAAGAAAATTTTCGTACAAATGAACTTTTGCTGACAGATGTTTATTACAAACGAACTTTCATTTCCTCGTAACATTTCTTGGAGCACGTTCTGCAAATTCTGCAAGATGTCGTTGTTTGGTTTGAAGTTTATTCAATGCAATATCAAAAAATCCTATAAAAATATAGATCTTTTACGTTCTGATCTTGTAAAATATAAATGTAATGTTGTGTCACAGAAATATGTTATGAATATTTTTGGAAATCTGACCTTTAATTAAAATTAGGCGCCAATTTGCATTCGCGATTTTAATTGCACAGGCTTTTAATGAAGAAACGCTCGTTTCGAAGAAATCTTTTAGAAGCGATAAACTTTTTGAAGGCTCTAAACATTTCCTGACGCAGAAATGATTCCAAACTTCTGAAAAGAGAAATCTATTGAATTAGGGGACTAGGGAAGGCGAGAGACGCGTTACAATCTAAATTAAATTCACACAAGTAAAGTGTACAGATTTGTAAAATAATTGACACGTCGAAAAAAAAAAAAAAAGGAAAATTAGAAAAAAGTAAAATTCAAAATTCATTAGAAAACTTCTTTCGAAATGCAGAATATTTCCAAAAATATCAAACTTCGATCTCCAATGAACGAATGACAATTGAATCAAACCAACATTCGAAGGTTCAGAACATTTATGTATATTTTTCGACATCTCTCGATTTTTATCGACAGATCTCAATGGTTCGAAACGCGTCGGATAAAATGTAAATATAACACGATCGACGTACAGCTGATGTTTATTTCATTTCATGTATTTATTTCATGTATTTCATGCATTTATTTCATATATGGTTTACACAGTACAAAAGCGATCAAATATCATTAACATTGAATTGAAACGTTAGTAGCGAAGTAGTGGTAATATATCAATGAATATGCGGTTAGTAAAGTATCAAGAAGTAAAAAAAAAAGAAGAAGAAAAAAAAATATTTCGAATCTTCTAGATCTCCCGTAACGCAGACAGATCACGTTCGACGCGAATGACGTTCCTTCCCTGTTGAAAACAGTCCCAGTTCCCTGGTCGATGGTGGAAGAAATCGTACGAGAAATCCTGGAAACCAAAGATTAAAAGTCTGAATGAGACAAGAATGAGACGGCGAGACGGAAGAAGAAACTCGCGGGAAACACCTACCTCGAGATTGCTGATCCTAATACTGAGATGCATCATTATCTGTATCATCTAAGTCATCGGTGTTAACTATGTCATCGCTTGTTTCGCCTAAACTCTCGATTGACACCCTGTTCGTTAACTCTGATCTCGCGTCACGCTGCTTCAAATGTACCTGGAAATTGTAATACTGCACGACCGAGAACGGATTGTCCTCGAGGTGTAGCTCGAGCTCCTTGAACGAGTTCTTCTTGAACAGATCGTCGATGTCGTCGATGCTGTTGTTCCTAAGCAGAAGGACCTCGAGTGATCTCGAGTTGAATATCAACGACGTCGGCAGTATCGCGATCCGATTGTTCGACAAGTCCAACGTTTTCAGGTACAACATGTTCACGAAATTATTGTCGATCATCGAGATGTGATTGTTGGAGAGGTTCAGCGTCTCTATGGACGTGAGTATGCTGTCGCAGAGGTTCATCACCTCGTTTATCTGATTGTGGCTCAGGTCCAGGTACTTCAAGTGATTCAACGAGCGTGTCTTCGGGTAGAAACGCAGCTCGTTCCACGATAAGTCCATCCTTTCGATCTGCGTCACGTCCTTGAACGCGTCCTCCGATACCATCCTGATGCCGTTGCGGGACGCGGCCAGACTCCTCAGCTTCTTCAGCCCCTTCAACGACAGCGACGTCTCCCCGTTGCAATTCTCGTTGCACAATTCCGCTATTCTGTTCCCGCTAACCTGCAGATGCTCGATACCACTCGGAAGGTTGTTAATCGTGCAGAAACAGCCATTGTCCTGCAGGTAGAGGTTCCTCATGGCCCTCGGCAGGTTGACGAGGAAATCGAACGACTGGAGCTTGTTCCCTGACAGGTCCAACCAGTTCAAGATGGGCGCGAACTTGTCGAGTTGAATGTGCACGCGAGTGATACCGTTTCTTCTCAGCGACAGGTATTCCAGCCTTGGCAAGTGTTCCAGCATGTCTCGGATGTTGCCATCGTCCGTGGTCTCGTTGACGACGTTGTCGTTTATGACCAAACGCCACAACGTCTCGTGATAGTGGAACCACAGCAGTTTGTCGGTGCGTAGCTTGTTGCCGGACACGCTCAGAATTTCCAGCCCTTTCATCGAATCGAACGCCGTATCCGAGATTTCCGTGATCTCGTTGTCGTCCAGATACAGCTCCCTCGCGTACGTCGTGTTAACGAAGAAATCCCCTATTCTTCGCAGGCCCATGCCAGTGAAATTCAGAACGCTGTTCGCGACGCAGTATTGAAGGGGATTCCCCACGGATGTTGGATTTCCCGTGGCAGGATTTTCCACCTCCGGATAGTATCTCACGCCATAGCTTCTCCTCTTCCCGACGAAGATCGATGGAACATGATTTCCAGACAGCAGCGGCACGACGAACGATACCACCCACAATCGCGCGAACAGCATGTCTGCAAACAAGGTGCAGGAGGAACGGTCGTTCGATTATTCGAGATCGATCTCGGGCGGTGAACTTACCCTTGGCGGAGGGAACCAACAGTCGAGGAGAGTGTCTGACGGACGTCTGTTTGCTTCAGCGCGTATCACCAACTTGCCACCTTCTGATCTGGATATTTTCATTTGTTGCTTTATAACGTGGCGATAATCCTCGTGAAATTTAACGCTCTAGTAGGCCTCAGGACTGTAAAACCTTCCGCGAGACCCTGTGCCACGCTGCCGCCCCCTCGTCATTGTTGCTCGTCGGGAGGGCAAGCTCGCGCAAACGTATGTTTCTGCAGAGTGGAATGAAAGATCCATTTCCCATTTTCCGTGTTTCGAGATTAGCTTTGAACGTTAAGTACTTTGTTGTTAGTAACAAAAGAAGTATTAGATCCGTGTGAAATCGTCGGATTTTTGTGAGATTTTATCGTGCAATTTATTTTTCGACGTTTCTGCAACATTGTTTTCGACTTTGATCGAATGTCCATGAGCCATTTGCATCGATTTGCTTTTTAGAAGCGATAATTCTCTGAATCACAGGGAGGCCCTGTCTTTGAACAGAGAAGCTTCTCCCTGATACAACAGTAATTCCAAACATACGGAAAGCTGAAAATCTGACTATCTCTCTAGCGATGGTGTATAAGCGAGAACTTCGTAAGCTGACTCTGAAAGTTTCTGTACACTGATTCGTGAAAAAGCGAATCAATCCGTGTCGATTTAGAAAGAAATAAAATTCAAAGTTCGTAAGAGAAAAGAAAACGCGAGAAACTTTCTAAAAGGCAGTTTCGTGCGAACATAATCTAATAATTATCGGTAATCTGTACACGCACGCGCGCGATGAAAGATAAAATTAGGAAACTAACATTTCCTTCGTGAGACTGAGCTTTCCCTACTCGGTTCTCCGTGAAATATGGCAACGGGAGGAGTTTCGAGGGTGACTGGAAACACAGGGTGATGGATCCCCTTCGTTCGTCACTTCATTCAGGCGAGATCGTGCATGCATCGTCCCGCGAATGCTATCTTCCTCTGTTCAGATTACAAGGATATACAATCCCGAAAGATATTTGAATGACGATAGTATATCGGCGTGGAATGTCGTGCTCGTAGATTTTCTGTCTCTACCGCGATAACGAATAATTCTCACTGCGCGATTTTTTGCAGAAACGGCAGAACCGTCGTGCAACTACGCTGATCTACTGAAAAATTGTCGACGGACGCGAGCAAACGAGCGAATCTGATAATCGAAATCCAAACGCGCTCTTTCGTAACATGTGCATAATATATATATATTCAGGTAACTTTTGACATTGACCGAGGAGATAATCAAAGTCCAAGGAAAGACAGAAAGATTATACGAAAATATTCGCACGCCGGATGGAAACATCGGTCGATGTTTTAAACTGTTGTCACGTCGTGAAACAGAATCAAGTTTTGGCCTCATTGTTACAGAGTTATACATTAAAAAGTAAATTTATATAATTATTATTAAAGTATATATAATATATTTTGTATAGTATATATATATATATATACTTATACTTTAATATAATTATAATAATAATTTAATATAATTTAATTTAATTTATTTAATATAATATAATTTAATTAAATTTAATATAATTATAATAATTTAATATAATTTAATTTAATTTAATTTATATTATAAAAATTTAATATAATTTAATTTATATTATAATTATTTTAATTTAGTTTATATTATAATTATTTTAATTTAGTTTATATTATAATTATTTTAATTTAATTTATATTATAATTATTATAATTTAATTTATACTATAGTAATTTAATATAATTTAATTTAATAATTTAATATAATTTAATTTAATAATTTAATATAATTTAATTTAATAATTTAATATAATTTAATTTAATAATTTAATATAATTTAATTTAATAATTTAATATAATTTAATTTAATAATTTAATATAATTTAATTTAATAATTTAATATAATTTAATTTAATATAATTTAATTTAATATAATTATAATAATTATAATTATAATAATTATATTGTATTAAAAATAAAAGGACGTCAAGAAAATCGCAAAATTTCTCTTCCGACTTCAACGTTTCTTTTCCAGGAAAGGAATAAATAGTCATCCTCCATGTTTTCAACGTTATCGCTATATAAAAACATTTTATAATCCTTATCGCTATATAAAAACATTTTATAATCCTTATCGCCCGAGCAGTACAAACAAACTTTACATTACGACGGCTAAATTAAACAGATTGTCATTCGTATTAGATTTAGTCTATACACACGATATGCGACAGTTTTATGTTTTGCGAAATATTAACGATTACGTCAATTAATATTAATACCAAATATTGGAACTCTTAATGCTCGAAAGATTCTTAGATTATGTACGACGCAAGGAGAGGAAAAGAAACAGATTTGAGCTTTTAGAATTTATTGCAACAATCTGACAGTGATGAATAATAAATAATAATGCGACATATGAATATACGATACACTTTCGATGTGATAATTACAATTGTCGTTGTACAATGAAGTGTCATGTTAAATCGTATAATACTGTTCAAACCATATACACGGTGCATCGTTTTGGTACCAATCGCACAATATTTTGATTTAAATCTATGTGCGTGATGTTGTTACTTTTTATGTACAGGTCTCTCAAATCCACAAAATTGTGGATCTGTACATTTTCCAAGCTTACAAAATTGTTAAACTCTAAATTTAAATATTTCAACATCGGCATGCTTCTATGCCACTTCGAAGGCAACGAGTTCAATTTGTTATGCGATAAGTCTAAATACTCTAATCTGTCGAGTTGCCACCACTCAGCCACGTCGATGTTATCGATATTATTTCCTTTTAGATTTAACATTTTTAACGAATTCGTCATGAAAATGTCCGTCATGTTGCTAATTAAGTTGTTACCCAACGACAATGTCTCGAGTTTATTCAAATGATGTACTTCGGGCAGAGTTGTCAATTTATTGTTGTTCAAGTTCAAATATTTTAACAAAGGCATGTGCTGCAGCACGTCAAATGTAACCGAACGAATTTCGTTGTGAGAAATGTCCAGCACTTGTAACGAAAAAATAACGGGCATCTCGCTCAACAAGCAATTCGACAACGAGAGAATTTTTAAACTTTGATAGTTTGGATTTATCCAAAAATACTTGAGAGGATTTTCGTCCAAATATAGCTCCTCTATGTTCCCTGGCGCGTCCATAACAAACTCGTCAATTATGTTTCGTTCTAAGTGAAAATTTCTCAAGTTAAATGCATTGTCAGCTATTGCACTTGTGTTTACCATTTGTATATAATTGCTGTCTGATAAATAAGCCGTTGCTATTTTCGGGAAGAATTTCATCCACGAAAGAAGCAATTCGTGGTTTAACCCCTTCCACGATAGAACCTCTACGTTCGGCAGACGTATTTTCAATTCTTTCGTTAGCAAATTCGAGTCTGTTACTTCTGCACTCTTTTGGAAATCGAAAATCAGTACTTTCAAATTTTCATGTTCGATCTCAAGATCGTCGATCGAAATACTGTTCCCAGCGAGATTCAAGTATTCCAAATTTGGCGTTTCGTCAAATATATGTCTTCCTACTTCTCTGATTTTATTCTCAGGCAAAGAAATCGATCTTACTGAATTACTCCGGACCATTCCCTGCGGAATGTTTTCTATACCAAGCCCGGCTAAATTAACACTTTCGACGTCCGAATATGTAACATACAATTGTTTGTCGATGTAATCTATATCTTTGAAGTCTTTCGAAATAAGACTTAATCTAGAGCACAGCGCCCTAGTGAGAATCAGAGTAAAAACTACAATTGTTCTCTGAAAAAGAAAAAAAAAAAAAGGAATTCGTTTATGATAGCAGTAAACAAGAATGTTCGTATCGAATATTCAGGGTGTTTCGTAACTTGTGGGACCCACTTTGGGAGCTGATTGTACGCCTAAGAATAATGGAAAAAAGTCATATAAATATATGTCCTATCTGTCTTTATGAGATATATTGAATTTTATAAACAGAGCAAACTCTAGTAAGCTAGTTTTACCAGGGATGGTACATTCAATTTTCATAATAATCATAATTGGGATGAAGAAAACNTGCATGGCCTGCTCGTTCTCCGGATTTGAATCCATTAGATTTTCATTTGTGGGGACATTTAAAATCTATTGTACACGCAACGTCGATTGAACGATGCTGAAATACTACGAAATAGAATAGAGCAAAGCTTCCGACAAATTCGAGAAACACCAGGAAACGATAGAGAGAGTAACCAGATGAATAACAAGACGCGTGCAGGCTTGTCTTCAAATGCAAGCTGGTCATTTCGAGCATCTTTTGTAAAAGTAATTAAAACAGAAAATTCATTATATCTCATAAACGAAGACAGATAGGACGTATATTTATATGACTTTTTTTCATTATTTTTAGGCGTACAATTAGCTGCCGAAGTGGGTCTCACAAGTTACGAAACACCCATACATAAATAGACAAATGGAGACGTCGCTTCAACGTACGACTATTTACTTCGTGAAATGATGAATTTGATATGTCAAATTGAAACAGAAGGAGAAATAATCATTTAATACGTACCATGATTTGATATTAATTTCTGCTCTCGTCGCTTAAAGATTCTGACAAAAATGATTACGAACTGCGTCCCGATCGCGACGTCCCGTCTTTTATATGCATAACGGCATACGTCAACTTATTTCTATCAATATGGTTACTAAGAACGATAAATTTATCGTTTATAAAAATGAATGTGTCTTTCATGAACTTCATCACTGTAACGATGAATCGCTATGAATCACGTACTGACTGCAACGACGACTCATTCATTAACAAAATAACGATAACAATATCCCACCCTTGCCCAAAACTCCGATAAAACAAGTATAAAAGGGCCATCCCCAAACTCCTCAAGTTCCATTACATCAACTATAAACGTAAGTCTTTAAAATTATTGTATTATTGTATTAAAGTGTAAATGAAAGCTACGCTGGAATGCTACGGTATTCCGACTTATTTTAAAAAGTAGTTCTATTCAAATCCCGCGTAACAACCACTGTGCGTCTAGAATAAGATGGTGCTCTTACAGATGCAACAGAGCATAACGTTGTTTCTTGGTTCCGGTTGGACCAAGTCGACCGGTTTGTACGTTCGTGGAATAACGTTGATAAAACATTATTCCTCGATTAGTAAGATCGATTAAACGAGTACCGCGAAACCGGATGTAAGAAGAAATATCAGAGGGTTAGTCTCCTTCCAGACAGAGATATAGGTATCGCGATACGCGTGCGAGATATATGTTTGGAAATGAGACATAAATGGTATTGCTTTCAATACGTTGACTGCCACGACTAAAGATTTTTTTCCTCGATGGGACCGTGATGATCATCGAAGTGTTTCAAATGTTCTCAGAATAATTAAGATAAGGCGAATATCGTCAACTGACTATAGCTAACTAAATAACATTATGAGATTAAAAGTGCACTGTTCGAGAATTAAAGTTAATTATAAAACGCTAAAGAATTATATATTTATTTAAATTGTATTATTAAATAAATATGTACATTATTAGAATTATACGTTTATTCAAAATTATCGCAATCTCCGCAGTATGTAAGCAACTAATTTTGTCCAATTTTTAATATTTTTCGAGCCATGATTCGCAACACTTTTTTTTTTTTAACAACATACATTTGTAAAATTTTCGTGCTTCTTTCTTTTGCATTTTATGGCACAATCTTTCTCGGGCTGTTATGTTTGATGGCAGCTGGTGCTTAGATAATTATTTTGTTATACTTGCACAAGAAAACATTCAATAATAGTTATCAAGAGTAGCCAAGATCACAGTGGTCACCAATAAGATAAACTATGGATAAGGGAATGATCTTATATAACCATATTTGTGATTTTGTTATTATAAGCATATACTTATACTTACATGGTTATTAATAATGAAAATTCTCTTGTACATGTCATAAATTTAGCAGTCATTGCGTCAACACTTTTACCTATACACGCAATGCAATTTAAATTACATCTAAAAGCTGAAGCAACGCTGTAGGATCTTTCTGAGTGAATTTTATATACATATCAGGAGAAAAATAAAGCGATATACATTATATATAAAATGAGTTTTGTATTAAAAATTACAATATTTTTGTTTACATTTAACGTTCAATACACACAACTTTTGAAATCACTTGAAATGCAAAACAATTTCACAAAATACAAATGCAAAACAACAAAAAGAGATTATTCTATTTCGTTCTGTATTTACGAGTAAGCAGAAGAGTAAGCAGAAAAAAACGAAGAATGCTGCATCTTGTTGAGCCTCGAGCCTTTTATCAATCATTCTTTCTTGGCATGAAGATATAAGCTTCACCGATATGTTATATCTTTAATAGTGGATGGAAATAATATTAAAACTTCATCTTCCCGATAAAATTATTTCGTTACATTCCTCGTTCTTCTCCTTACTTTTTATAGAATTCTATAGATATTCAGTATAAATATTTTCTATGCATATTTTCATTATCACATCGCACTCCAGGTCTTGGTTCAATGTTCAAGAAAATCGTCATTTCCGGCAACATTACGCTTCCATTAATGTATATTAAAGGGTTCCGTTCGAAGTGTAATCGCGTGACGGGAAAATTAGAATCATAAAGCACCGATTCCAACGAAGTGAATTTGTTCCCCGACAAATTTAAATACCGAAGCTTCTTCGTGAATTGATACCAATATGGCGGCAAGTGACTTAAATCATTGTCATCTAGATACAATTCTTCTAGCAACTTTTGATTTTCAAACGAATTCACGTAGATGTTCCGGATCGTGTTCCTGCTTAGAAATAATCTTCTTAAATTGTTCAGATTGTAAAAGCTGTCAGTCGTTATATTGATGATGCGGTTGCAATTTAACGAGAGCGTGGTTATATTTAAAGGCACTGAGATGGAAACGGCGTCGATCGAATTACCATCTAATGCAAGAACCTCCAGCGAGTGCAGATCTTTAATCATTTTAAAGTCAAAATCCGATAGATAGTTGTAGGAAAGGTTCAAGTCTCGGAGATTGAATAGATTTTCGATCGAGTTGCTGCTGATATATTTGATTTGATTGTTCGTTACCGAGAGATTCACCAAGTTTTGCAACGGTGTCAAATCAACGTGGTGATGATTTAATGTGTTGATGTTATTATTGTCCAACCTTAACGACAACAGATTGTTCAATTTCTCAAATGAAAATTGTGAAATTCCGTTGTCGCTAAGATCAAAATACTGTAACATGGGTGGTAGAGTCAGGGATAAAGGGGAAGAAATTTTGTTCCCAGAGAGGTTCAAATGTGTCAGATTTGGAAGTAGATTTTCCAATAGATCACCTTCCACAAGGATGTCAGATATAGAATTGTATGATAAATCCAAATATTCAAGTTCAGGATACTTGTTTGATATTATTATTTCTTCTTCCGAATAGTAATTATGTCGATGATCTTGATGACCGAGATTTAATATCTTCAGGTGTGAAATATTGCCAAAAGAGAATAAATTACTTTTAGAGATACGATTTCTTCGGAGGTCAAGATATTTCAAATTTGGTACGTTCGCAAAAGATCCTTCCTCAATATTAACATTATCACTCCTTATGACAATACATCTTAGGGTGGAAGATACGATAGAGTTTCTATCAAACTTTACAGAGTCACTGTTCAATATTAATATTTCATTCTCGCAGATATTTGCCAAATCTGCCAGCTCAATAGCTTCAATTATGAGTGACAAGGAAGTTAATACTATTGTGAGAACGATCAACGGCTTGGTGTATGCTTCCTTCATGGTGAAGGATTTCTGAAAGTATAATATGATATTTCACATTGTTTTTCTTAAAAAAAAAAAATAAAATAAAATAAAAATGAAAGCGAAAAAGCTGCGTCACTTGTTAGAAATAATATTGAAGCAAAATTAACAGTACAATAGAACGTCGATACATTAAGTACAATTAACTACATTAAAAATAGTGAATCAATAGTAAATTTCAAAGTAACTTAAACAACAAAAGAAATTTTCGTTTACATAGAAGTTTGAAAGTGGCATAATTCGAGTTGTGTACGTACAAATAGATAATCGGTGTTCTACTATAAATTGCATAAATTAACAATAAATTAACAATAGTTCATAACAATTTACTCATAATTTTTAGCGAACAATTTTGTTAACAGTAACAATATAGAATACTGAGACAAGCACTATTTAAATTCAACAAAACAACGTAAATTAACAAGCTTTTTTAATTGTTATAATGTTATAACATTGCCAAACAATAATTTCACTTGTATTCACATACGTACATCTATTTGACAGCTTGTAGTCTTCTGCCTGTCAATCGGAATAACTTTGAACACTGTCAAGTAGAATTACTTATATACGTATATCGTTCTACTAACGTCTCTATCTTTTATGCTGTGAAAAGAGAGTTGAGTTGAACTGTGTAAGATAACTAATCATATGTACATACAATTTTTTTATCTTTATTTAGCGTAAACTCTGCAAAGCTGATACATATATCACTTCACAAAGTTAAATTATAAAACAAATTTTTCTTTGAATATTGTCGGTTTGCAAGACTGTTAATATATATGTAAATTTGTACATATGCAAATACGCGAGGAAAACTATATTACCTTACCTTATATAAGAAAACTATGATAATAATAAATGTCATAATGCGTGAGAAACTTAAACAGCCATTTGGGCTTTTATTCTTTATTCTATTCTATTCTATTTCTTCAAGTCTATTTTATTCGGAATTTATTTTATTAATTCAGAAGCTATTTTCATTAAGAAAATCTCTTTTCTTATTTATTGTGAATAACAATTTCTTCGTTGTGTGAACAAAGTATAAAAATATTCAGTCTTCTTTCGTGTCTTCGTTAGGTATTTCTTCTAAATCGGATGTTCTTTCCTCGATATATCTTTTTTGATAACTCTGTGTTTGTGGTAGATTATCGTATTTATGTTTTATGTGTGTCCAAAGTCTCTGCGGATAATGATAAGGTAAATTCAGTTAATTATATAATTCGCTTGATAAACACGTAAAAGTAGCTTGGAAATATATTTATTTTTAAATTCTCATTACTCTGCAATAACTTATCAAACGCTTTATAATCAATTTTATGGGAAAAAATCAATAGCATACTCCTTCGTTTATCCATTCAAAGATCTCCTCACAAGCGTGATCGTAAGCTCTCTCAAAAAATACCGACGTGACAACAATACTAAGAATAAAGCTAGATGTCCGTTTAAAAATGTAACGATAAAGAAAACGAGAAATCATTTTGAATATCTTAACTTTAAAGCACTTTCAATATATTTGTCACTGTAATCGGAGGAGAGGAAAAAAAGAAATGAAATCTATCCAACTTGAAATGAGTAAAATATCAATTGGGTCGATTGAGAACTTAATTGATTCAATGATAATTTGACACTAATAAATAATACATATTTAATATTGTATGAAAAAAATATTATTTATATTATTTAAAATAATATAAATATTTTGAACGAAACAATTATGGAAAATAATTTTTTATTATCATTAATGTATAAACAAAAATTATTACATTTACATCTTACAAATAATATAAAAAAATATAACAATTATTTTTAATTTTCAACAGTATTGTAATCTTTTTCAAAAAAGATTGGACCTTGCAACACTTTTCGAGATAATCTAATGTGTCCATTTACAGGATCTCGTCCAAAATATTTCACTTTTATTTCATCTCCAACATTCAATCCAAGTACACTAGGATGATGAATTTTACGTTGATCCAACTGCGAATTAGGTAATAATGTTGGTATCATGTTGGGATATAATATAACCATAACTCCAGATTCACGAATTTCAATTATTTTTGCTGTGTAGATATCACCAAATGTCAAAACTGGTTCCACCTTTTTTTCTAGAATCTCAGTTATCATATTTTTGGCTTCATCCATAGCATTTTGATTGGGCGCAAATATGGAAAACGTTATATTGTCTTCTGAATATATCTATAAAAGAGAATATAATAGATTAACTTCTTTTGCAATAAAGTAATTGATTAAAGTTTCTATTTCCTTTTTAAATTTACATTAACTCCAGTCTCGTAGAAAATATTTTTTAAGTTCATTCCTCCAACTCCAAGAAATTTCCCTCTTTGATGCACGGGGATTTCTATAGTATCGACTACAGGTTTATTCGTTTTTTTCTTGTGAGATGTAGAAGACAATGTTGTATTCATGATAGCAATAATTCGATTTTTGGCGATATGTGCCTTTTCAATAGTTTTCATTGCTACTTTTGAAGGAATACCCGCTACTTTTACATCGACTTGCAAAGCGGTGAATCCTTTTTTCGTACCCGCAATTTTAAAATCCATGTCTCCAAAATGATCTTCTATACCCTGTTCATATAAAAAAATCAAGAATTAACTTTTGCATTTTGCAAATCATATTTGAATATTAATCAATATGAAATTACTGATATATCAGTTAAAATTTTATAATCTTCATCGGTTAATTGAGTAGTAGGATTAGATATCAATCCCATAGCTACACCAGCAACGGGAGATAATATTGGAACACCTGCATCTATCAATGCTAGACTACCACCACAAATAGAAGCCATAGAAGATGATCCTTTAAATGAAGCAAAAAGTATTTAAATTACTAGTTATCTACTATTCTTTCTTTTGCCTGTTCTTTTTCCTTTCTTTTTTCACTTAAGCAACTCACCGTTAGATTCTAATACCTCGCTTGTCAGTCTTATAGTAAACGGATAATCTTTTGGTATAATTGCTTGCAATCCTTTCTCTGCTAATGCTCCATGACCAATTTCTCTACGATCAATTCCCGTAAGTTTACCCGTTTCATTTACAGCATATGGTGGAAACTCATAATGTAGGAAAAAATTTTTTTCTTTTAAACCGCTGCAAGAAATGATATTTATTCATACTGAATAGATATTTGAAAAATATTAATAAATGAACTACCTAGATAGCATTGACATGGTATCCAGTTTAAGAGAATTTTCTATACTGTCAAGAGTTACCGTACACAGAACTTGAGTTTGTCCCCGTTGAAAAAATGCAGAACCGTGAAGAGGCTCAAATAAATTAATCTGGCACTCTATATTTCTCAGTTCGTCTAAATTACGACCATCACATCTAAAATCGTTTAACTTGTTATATTTATTTCTATGGATTAATAGTCATAATTAAATTTCTCTTATATAAACGAAAGTTACCTTTTATCTGTTTCAAATATTACAGATCTGAAAGTTTCCTTAGTAATTTCGCTAAAAACCTTTATAGCATCTTTGATAAAGTCTGAATCACGATTTGTTATACTTTTCAACAATGTGTTTCTAAGATTAGAAATAGCATCGTCTCGTGAAACTTTATCATAGGAATGACAATTGAAAATTGTACGTAATTTATCTTCTGCAAAATTTCTTACAAACGTTTTCACGTCACTGTTTGATTCATTGTGTTTAACAATTTTCAACTTTGGTTTACCAATTTGCTTTTGCAATTGCGTTATAGATTCTATAATTGTTTGACATTCTTTAATGCCTATTTTTATTGCTTTTCGAAGATCTGGTTCTAGAATTTCATTTGCTGTACCCTCAATCATAACAATTAAATTTTTGGACAAACATGACAGAACAAGGTTTAGTTTACTTTGTTGAAGCTCACGCTTTGAAGGATTAATTATATATGCTTTGTCAATTAGACCAACTCGTACAGCTGCCACAGGTCCAGTCCATGGAATATCCGAAATGCTTAAAGCTGCAGATGCAGCATTAATACATAACACATCCGGATTATTAATTCCATCAGTAGCTAATAAATTACATACTATTTGGGTTTCATAACAATATTCTGGATCAAATAGAGGCCTTAAAGATCTGTCTATTATTCGGCTAATAAGGATCTCATAATCTGTATAACCTATTTCTCTACGGAGAAAATTCGTTGGTATACGTCCAATAGCAGAGGCTTTCTGCCTATAGTTTACTGTTAATGGAATCACAGTATCATCACAGGGCACATTTTTTCTAACTACAGTGGTCATAACTGATGTATTGCCCATTGAAGCAATAACACTCCCAGATGTAAATCGTGCATATTTTCCAGTTGATAGTGTAAATGTTGAGCTAAAGAAATATTTGAAATAAATAATAATGGTCATACGATAATGTATTTTATTTAAATAACTATATTACATCATAACTATATTGTAATAATAAATTATCATAAAATAATGTATTTTATTTAAATAACTATAGTACATATTTTCATAACTATATTTATATATGTAACATTAAATATCAAAATGTAATAAACATATACTATTAACGTTTAGGTTAGAAAACATGTGACATGCTTACTCATTAGATAGTTTTATGTTTACACTTTCTACAGCATCACTCGACATAAATTTTATGTGAAACGCATTTTTAGTTTTGTCATGATTTTTCAAGAAAATTAAATTTCTATTGTTTAATAACTTACTGTGTCTGAACAGTACCATCCTTATATTACATTGAATTGGTTTTAACTTTGAACGTACTCATAGTTGCCACCATTTCGAAAAGAAAAATTCTATCATACTAATTTTGTTGTTAATTGCTATGTCTGACTGTATTTTATTTTCATCAATAAGCATTAATTTTTCTTTTCGATGAAATTTTTCAAATTGCATCGAAAAGAAAAATTTCAATTTGCATTTTTGCAATTGATGACAGATAGTGTACATTAATAGTTAATTAAGGATAATTGAACTTCTTAATTCTGTTGAAAGTGATAGTAAAAAAAAAAAAAGAAAAAACAATGGGAAGGAATATAAAGTTAAATTGATTTTTGATCAAATTGAAAATTTTATTTATGATACGATTTCGTACAGTAATTCACCCGATTCATACTACACTAGTTGGAATTTTTGTTATCTCTAATACATATATGAACTATCGTATTTGACAAAGTTACTATGTATTTCGGTTCAACTGTGAAACAGAAAATATGGAAAAAATCATTTTTCGTATATTAAGACCGCATTGTAGAAATTCTCTGGTAATTAAACGAACGTTTTACGAACAGTATAGATCATCGTATCCGGAAATATATGACAAAAAACCTGAATCACCAAAAAATTTAACCTTTTTACAACAATGGCGAAACTCGTACGATCTTTTAAAGAGTGAAACCAAATTATTTCTCGAAGAACTAAAAGAGGGATTTTATTTACTTCCGAAAGATTTCGTAGTTGATGAAATCGATACTGTATGGAAATTTGATGGAACTCAAAAATCGTTAGATCAGTGGATCGTAAATTGTGACAAAGACTATCATCATGGTTATTCAACTGCCAAGTAACTGTGCCATGCTTTTCACGCTATTTTATTTAAAAGTTCGAGTTGAGGAAATATTCCAATGAAAATGTTAACACTTTCAGATTGGAACTATCATCTTTTGGTACTGGAATATTTCATGGTATACTAGATACTCGCGTACCCAAAGATGGAAAAACAACACATGCTGGATACTGTAACATCACCTCGATTCAAAAATTTAAATCTTTCGGTCGACGAGATTATTACAATTGGGTTAACTATAACGAACTTGTTTTACGAATTAGAGGAGATGGTAGGTGTTACATGTTAAATATTCTACAAAAGGGGAATATAGATCTAACGCAATACGACTGTCATCATTATGTTATGTACACAAGAGGTGGTCCATATTGGCAGGTAGTTAGAATTCCTTTTTCAAAATTTGTATTTAATACAAAAGGAGAGGTTAATGAAAATCAGTATCCTGTGTGCGACGCTCACATTACGAATTTTGGAATTACACTTGCTGACAAAAGGCCAGGACCTTTCAGATTAGAAATTGATTATATTGGAACTTGTTACAATACGAATATCCGCGAAGAATTTGCATACGAAACCTACAATGTAGATAGAACTTAAATGAAAATCTTCTTTACAGAGTGATCACAAAATAAAAACAATATTTTTATTAATTTAATTTATGTACATTGTAAATATTTATATAACATTTATTATGGTGAATAATAAATTTAGAAATAATAAGCAATATATTGTGGTCATTAATACATACATTTAATGAGATGACTTTTTTGAAGTTTTTTTCCTTAATAACTTATACGTGTTTCTTGATATCAAATAACTTGCACCACCTGCTAATGTTGTTAATGCTGTTATATAGCAAGAAATTTTTAAAGCTGGATGATTTACAAAATGAAAGATAGGTGCAGCTAATGTTCCAGCAACAAAGGACAATTGAATAGCAGTATTAATTTTACTTATATATGTTGGAGCCAATTGTGCTGTTGCATATGTAGGATCAAAATATTTGGCCAAAGTTTTCTGAAACATATTTTAAGCGTATATAAGTATAATCAGTAAAATATTTATCTGTCCATAATGTTTTAATTTGATACATACTGGGGGAGGTAAAGATTGATATCTTATGTAAGAAGCAGCTGAAACCAACATAATGTCTCTTGCAACAACAAGACACGTTAAAGGAATAGGAACCAATCCTACCCAGGCCAAAGATAGGAACAATGTACCTACAAGTAACTTATCTGCAACAGGATCCAGAAAACTACCAAGCTTAGAAGCTTGGGATGTCCATGTACGTGCAATCCATCCATCTGCTAGATCACTAAACCCAGCAATTATTAACAGCGACAATGCTATCTATAATATGAACATAATATATAATGAATAAATATACACTTAAATGTTATAACGTTTTACCTGGTAATCTTGTGATAAAATTAAGTAACTTAAATATGGTGATGTTAAAATTCTTCCCACACAAAGAAAATTTGGTATTGTCCAGATGTTTTCTTTCTCAATAATTACTTTCACTTTTCGCTTAGTTTGTTTAATGTCTTGAAGTACTCGCAATTTGAATGTTTTACTTTTACTGACATTTTCTCTTTTGGTGATGTAACTTTTATGACGGTTGTTAATTCCATTGGAGAATACTCTTGCATGATGCAATAAATATTGTTTCAAATATCTCTCTAGCCAATATCTACTTGAAATTGTGGATTGTTTGAAACATAATATTGTAAATTGGCTCATAATTGTTTATTCCTGTTTTTAAAATGATACAATGGATGTCATAATAGATACTATCGATATGTAGTCAATAAAAAGGTTGTTTCACATTAAGTTATATTTTATTGCAAAATTATATATTATGTAAAACACGAGTCAAGCGAGATTTTGATGTTAGTTTTCATAAAATCTAAAATTATTTGAAAACAAATTATCAAAATGAAATGTGATTATTTTCTTGTTATAATAAAGTGAAAATTACTAATAATCTGCTTAATTTTGTATAATAAACTTGATTTAGATTAATAACAAAAAATCTTTGTAATAACAAGATTTATTGAACGAATTTACAAAAAAAAAAAAGTTTCATCTTCGAGGTTATGTTGTCCAATAAATATGAAGCTTACCTGATAAATTAAATATCTTTTACTTTTGCGTATTACGTAAGAAAAACTGAAACTATGGTTTTTCGTAAAAATAAAAGAAAAATTAGCTACATCAACATCAATTCTACTATGTTTATTCATAATCCTATTTCAAAATAATTTTATCAGCATATCATTGCAAGTTTCGCAATGGAGGGGGAACTTTCCTATCAATTCCATCTCGATTAACGAAATGAAATGAAATTAATGCGCCAACTATTTAAAATGCCTAATCACGAGAAAAACAATTTCACAAAACATTTCTATTTCCTTAATGAACGAATTTATGTACATGTTTATAACATATTGATTATCAATAATGAGAACCACCGTCGTTTTTCAATATTCACGCTTAAGTTCGTTCTTACACTAAAATAATAACTGTGGACAGTAGTTTTTGCAACGAAAAATTGCTTTATATTGTTTTGTATGTCATTTATAATTTCTTACATTAACTTTTCTATTCGTAAATAACACGGTCGTTTATTCGTAATCGATAATGTCAGTTCTTTAATTAACTCACTTCCCAAGTGTTGTATGCAAATATAGTCGCATCGTTTCGACTGAATAATTAAGACGAGAGTACATATTTAATAATTTAAAGATACAGTCAAAGGGACAATGTACAACAAAAGAGAAACATGAATTCCAAGATATTTGTTCGTTACGTTCGTTATATACCTGAATTATAATATCGAGAAACGTCGTATCATTTTATAGAGCCCAAAATAGTTGCGTTCTCGCTATGATCGATCAATAGGGTTGCGTTGTTGGAATGAAAAAAAAAAAAAAAAAAAATGTGACACGTACAAAAATTTAATTACGAGTTTGTGTCAGTGCAAATGTAAATAGTGGAAATCGTCTCTAAATGAGAATCCCTGCTGGGAGAGAATTTTCGCCGTAAGAATGCGTGCTCGCGAAGCGCGTGCGCACAGCTGGACACGGTATTGCAGGCGCACGACTCGACGAGCAACAGAGTGCTGTGTACATCCCCGCCCACGTATTATTATTCGACTGTCCTGTAACCACGCTTCTTGGTGATCGTGAACAACCACGAGTATCGGACAATTTCGCATCGTGTGGATGATGAATTCGTTATTCGCGGGATACGTACCGCGGCCTGTCGACAGAACCACGTAAGAAGGCTTTAATGTGACACAAGGGCGAGCATGATTCTGGCAGGATCAGACCATTTTCTGGCGGGTAAGTCCACTATCTTCTACTTTCTCTATATCCCATTTAACGAATTCAACTGTTCAGATGCGAGCTGGTACATCTTGATACACTTGATGCACAACGAACCTTATAAATATCGATGATCGTGCGTCAACAGCATTTCTTCCCGACTAGAATCTTGCTAAAATCTAAATAGGACACGCGTTGCCGTCGTGCACCCCCTTTCGTCGTTTATCCGTCACCTAAATACATCACGGCGTTTCCAACAGTTCCCGGTCTCGAATCATCCGGGAGTGATTCAATCTTCGAAAAGTGTGATCCTCGATCGCTATCTTCCAATACATCATCAACAAGATCCTCGTATTAATTGTGTATCGTTCTCTTTCGAGCAATCGGGAATTATTCGAACGATTGATACGTACCACGGTTTCCGCATTGCGCAAATTAAAATTATTTTCAAATACGTTGCCTTGAGTTTCGTCCTGTCGTTTCTCTTCTCGCTCCTCCCCCTCTCCCCCCACCACCACCCACCATCTCTCGCTGAAGTGCAATAAAATAACAAATTACGACGGCTCGTTACAGCCGAATGCGTGTGCGTGTGCGTGTGTGTGTGTGGTGATATCGTCACACATATCGTTAATCGTCGTCGAAAATCAAAAATATTCTCGTTCAGTCACAATATCACGGCAGCGGTTTGCGTGATAAGAGAAAAGCGGTGGTTAATTATTCCAGGTCATTACGACGTGATCGTATCGCTGGCTGTTTTAACGCGTTCGATACATCAATGACACGTACGGCCACCGTTCGAGAGAAAGATTTAATCTGTATATGGGTGAACGCCTTTTCACCGTGGTCAATAAATAACTCGTGCCTTGACTGTACCCTTTTCGATCATGCTTTTTGCATCCACGGGACCTTCCTTCCGCGTCCGTTCTGTCGCATCCTCTTCTTCTTCTTCTTCTTTTTTTTTTCTCTTTTCTTTTTTCTACCGTCGCGACTCTTTTCGTCCCACGTCCTTCTTCACATCTCCTTCTCTAGCAGCTGGGCCTTTTTTCATTTCTGATCGACCATTCGTCGAACGATAAATAATACACACGACGACTCGTTTATATTCCAACTAGTCGTTCTCTCACGATCGATCGACTTACAGTACCTGTGGAAGCGACAGCATTTCTGGGTGCCGTAGCTGGCTTCGTGGTCCTCCTGTTGGCTCTGTTCTTGTACCTGTCGCGCAAATGGTGCTTCACACCGCCATCCACGACCACGCTCTTCGGCGGCGTTTGCGTGCCCCTCTGCGAGTCTAACAACGTCTCCACGTCGCAAATTGCAAAGAACATAGGTAGGTTGCTCGCATTCGACCCACGATCCTGTTGTATCGAAATTACACCGGCAGATTCAGAAGCAGCCGCGATTCTTTTTTTCCTTTTTCGCGACGTCCCCTAGTAGCTTTGTCAGCTACTTTTTCTTTTTTCTTTTTTTGTACCTGAAATCAAAAAGAACCAAGCCTAGCAGAATTAAGTGTTAACGTACGATTTGAAAATGAAACTTCCCCCCCCCCCCCCCCCCCCCGGCAGGGAAGGCATTTTCCTACTCGGATCCAGAGACTAGCTCCGATTCGGAAGAGGACGTCCTTCGTCGATTGAACTCGCATTCTCATCCACCGCCGGATACTTTGACTATCCAAGCGGAGGATGGACCGACCATTCTGGGTTAGTATCCTCTCATCTACCTGCCACTTTTCTCATTGATCACCCTTCGCTTCTAATCGATCGCGCGTCGCTGTTTCAGACGCTGGCACTACGTCCAGCAGCTGCACGGAAGAACACTCGCCCACTGATCAACAACAGGTGAATGAAAAGAAACTGCGTTGGTTCACGTCCTCTTGCTCGTTAATGGCTCATTCGTATCTTATCGTTACAATGACGATCATTCGTTCGCGATCATTTTACATTCTCCCAGACGAATTTTTCTCGAACGAGTCGAGTTTGAAGTGTATCTTTTCGTTCCGATGCGCAGTGCGTGGTAGAAGTCGGCGCCTCCGGTATCATTCTCGACAGCAGGGAGCAAGAGGTGGAGGTGGAGCAAAATGGTTCGACCACCAACGACGTTATCACAACGATGGGCACTATCACCGAGGAAGTGGGCAGCTTGGAGGTCGCTTTCCTGTATGACGCACCGATGCGCGAGATGACGGTTCGCATAGATTTCCAATCGAGCGAACACGAAAGTTCACGAGAGTACAAATCGAAACCGACCAACTCCCCGTTGTTTGCAGGTTCACGTGCTTCAAGGACGAAATTATCCCGAGGGTATAGGCGGCAGTCAAGTGCGACTCGTGCTGCTACCGTCGAAGAAGCAACGCCGCAAAACTCGAGTGCGCCAGGGCACGTCTCCGCAGTACATGGAGAGTTTTCTACTTCCACGCGTGAATCCGGAGGACGTGAACGCCATGGGTGTACGCTTGAGAGTGTATCTGTGGGGCGGAAGGATGCGACGGGAGAGATTACTGGGCGAGGCCAGGGTCTCCTTCGATCAGATCAATCTTCAGCTTGAAACAACACTTTGGTTAACGTTGCAGCCTCCACCTTTTTCTTCGGTAAAAGCATCTGCACGCGCAGTCTTGTTCTTTCATTGGTTTCTTCGTTCTCTCTCTCTCTTTTCCCTTCTCTCGGAGTCAGAAGAAATAAATGAGAATAAATTTCGCAGGTACAAGATTGGGGAACAACCAGTAGTTTGACTCGTAGCGACTCCACGGGATCACAGCAGTCGGTTCAATCGTACGCGTCGCCTACGGCACGCGTGCCAAGCTACGCGTCGCACATTGTACCTCCTTACGGCAGTAGTATGAAGGGCGGAAGCGTGGCGGAGATTTTGATAGGCTTGGCGTACAATGGAACGACCGGGCGTTTATCGGTAGAAATAATCAAAGGGTCTCACTTTCGTGGCGGCGGTGGAAACGACACGAAACCACCGGACACGTACGTCAAGCTGGCTCTTGTGGACAGCAACGGCCACGAGATGGAACGGTCGAAAACTGGCTTGAAACGTGCTCAACCGAATCCTCTGTATAAGGAGACGTTTATATTCCAGGTACAGTCGTAAATTAATGAACTCTGGATCTGAACACTTTGATTGGAAAAAAAAAGTAAATCCTTCTCTCTTTCGATTATAATACTATTAATTATATTTGGATTATAATAATATTAAATGGATTAAATACTTGCGACGGTGGTTGATTTAGGTTGCTCTGTTCCAACTTGGGGACGTAACTCTCTTTTTATCGGTGTACAATCGACGAAGAGGCGGAATGGGCAGGAAAGGAAGAGAGATGATCGGTTGGCTCAGTTTGGGATTGAACAGCTCCGGCTCGGAGGAGCTTCAACATTGGAACGATATGCGGGCGGCGAGACAACCGACGCAGGTCCAACGCTGGCATTCGCTGTTGCGCCCCTGAAACATACGATCACGAAAGAGTTCCTGTCACGGAGACACGTTTCACGATGTTGTTGACGATAACGATATGGTTCGACAGATGGAACACGGCGCAGAGAAACACGGCCGCTAATCGCGCGGGCCGTTATTACATTACGACTGATCGTGCAACTGAATTTTTCAAGACAATTGCGGCTGCTCTCTATTGGATGCCGTCTGTAACTGCCCGAACAGAACACAGAAGTCAATATGTCGATCTGTTGATCCAGCTGAATCAGAGCTGTCACATAATTTTAGTACTCTGGTAACTGAGTTTAAAACTCTATCGATGTACCAAGTACATTCCCTTTTTGATACGCCGGACGGAGTTGAGGGTGTTTTCAACATACATATTACGTATGTATATTACATAAAAGAAAAAAAAAAAAAACAGAGAAAGAACGTAAATACGCGATACGCATACATACATACATACATACATACATACGTACGTACATACACAAGTATATGTACACGTTCAAGCACTTACTTACACACACACTTCGATTACACATACATACATACATACGTACATACACGCGCGTACTTACACGTACACAAACTATGCAAACACGCATTTTATCGGTCCCAAAAGTCGTACAAGAACGTATATATATTAGCTGATGGACCGCGAAACCGACTTCGATTCGATATGTGCCTGACAATGAGCCAACTTTAATCGTTTATTTTTTACTTTGTGCCTTTCACCCTTTTTAGGCCGCGTGTCCGCCGACGGAGAATCGTCGTGGGATACCCAGCCAAGTCGAGAGCCCATTATGAACCGCGATCCTCTAATCGTTCTCCTTTGGACGAGCTAAACTAAGCAAACGTAACTTTTCCTCTCTCGGCTCCGCGACACTTTCAACGGGACATTCGATTTGCAGTGCTTGTTCGTTCGAATCGATACCACGGATCTTGGTGTTTCGATCATATGGTTCGAGAATGGATTGATACGTGCGAAACGAATTAACCCCTTGGCTGCGTGAGGTAAATACATATGTATATAAGGGGACAGTGAACAACAACGTTTCCAACAGAGAAACTTAAGGCTGTACGAACAATTTTTTTAAATTTCCACATATAATGTTGCATATATCTGGCTTCTTTTCTTCTTCGTTTCTTTTTCTCTGTGTATTATCGTTCACGAATACGTGTACATTTCTTATTTGACGTTAACCTTGGTAGCATTGAACGTGAAAAGCACGACAGATAATTTTTGTAGCTCATTTCGTGTCGTATTCTCTCGATACGTGATACCGACGTGCTTACGCACGTTACCATACGTAGCTCCTAACTTTGCGAACGTTTTGCGTATGCAGGATATCGATTAATTAATTAGTAGCATCGAGGGGTTACGGTTAATCGATGGGGGTATAAAGGGGAACGTGTACGAGGACAGATTCACAATTCAACGACGCACAATAAACTCGCAAAACGCACCTCGTAAACGCAGATGTGATCGTAGAGTTGATATTACTATTAAACTAGTAGTATATTATATTATCGTGGATGCGGTTATAGGTTTTACGTAGAAATGTTTTTTCCACGCGTTTATATTAGAGGGAATTGGATACCGGACGAGGCGGGCGACTGATTAACGGATAAAGAAACAAAACAAAAA